CCCGGTATTAATGATGTACACAAAGTAAGATTTTGTATCATAATTCAAGTCTTATAATACAAATCTCATCTCTTTTTTCAAGTACAATAAAAATTAAGTTATAACCAACCACTTACGAGATTCTAGACTTCCAAAGTTCATTTAAATGTTGATGGGTTTAACGAATTTGAACGACACTATTTGGTGCAGGCTGGCATATATTGCAACATTTATTTTCACGAATAAGTAATGATCGAATGATTCTAAATATATCTATTACAGAGTGTAATATATCCGAGTTAAGACGTCTTCAAATATACATGATAAATCATCATATAAGATAAAAGGTACTATAATTTACACAGGAGATTTGAATTCTTTCGATATATTGACTCCAATAACTTCAGAGTTAGCATAGATATTTATATAATGAAGAATTCGTGCAAAAAGCAATCATTTCCGGGCAAAATAAATATATCAATGAAACAGATCTGATTGTGTTCATTTTGACACTATGATTTGTTATTAATTGTATGTACAGAAGCGGACGAATTCGTTATTCTATTAATCTTTTATTCTGGTATCAGCATTGTTTAACTTATAATTCTTCAAATTATTTTTGACCACCCAAAAGAATGGATATGGCGTATGCAGCTATGACAAGAATTTCCTTCATACACTAAACAAAATAAAAAAAACCAGAAGTATCACTTTCATTACTCTTCTTCGTCTCAATATTAAACGGTGTCAAATTTATAGTACCAGATTTGCGTATCAAACATTCAAGTCTTGATTTTTAGTGATGCTAAAGGCCAATTGAAAGCTTTGTCAGAAAAAAAAAATATCACCAAATCGTTGAGCTTAGGATTCAGACAAATGATCAAAGCTATACATCAGGGGAAACATTCAAAAAGTCACAATGGGGTTTTCTTCATCGAGCAACAGCTCACACCTCAGTCACTGCAAGATCAAGACGAAACGTGCACCGAATTGTGTAGAATTATTTACTAGTTTCTGGTGGGGTTCTAGTTGCTCAATCTTTAGTTTACTATGATGTTTTTTGTGTACTATTGTTTGTTTGTCTGTTTCTTTTTTAACCATGGCGTTGTCAGTTTATTTTCCATTTATGAGTTTATATGTCCCTTTGGTATCTTTCGCCTCTCTTTTACTAAATGTCGCTAACACTTCATATATGCATTTACGAAATTACAACTGCATGGACATATCAACAAAGTTCAGAGTATATCGGGAAAAGAAATTTTGAAAATACTGTGATCATAAGTTGCATCAAAACATTGACACTCAATTATCCCAATTTTTGACATTTTTACCTGCTATGTATGTTGATTTTGCTCACACATTGTTTTCAATATAATAGTATTCAATGCGACTGTCATACAAGTGAGAAGTTTGGATAGCTATAAAGCCAGGTTTAATCCACCATTTTATACATAAGAAAATGACTGTACCAAGTCAGGAATATGACAGTTGTTTTCCATTTGTTTGATGTGTTTGAGCTTTTGGTTTTGCAAAGAACTATGCGTTTTGAATTTTCCTTGGAGTTCGGTATTTTTGTTATTTTAATTTTTCAATACAGAAACACAAAAGTCCGTCAATTACGAGGCACATCAATCCTATCTGGCTAAATTATAGTGGCATCGAACAAGGAAACATATTTTAAACTTATTCTTATTAAAAGCCTTATGGGGAACACACGCATTAAACATCGATCTAATTTTACAATTACAGATCCATATTTAAAAGTAATGGTTGACATCATTTATTATACAAACTTTGTTAAGTACCAGTTTGTAAACTGCATTGTATTTTGAAAGAACTATCGTTTTTCAGTCAACTACATGAGTGAAGTCGTATCATTACAGATGTTTGCCTCCTTATACTTTTTCCGCATTTTTATAAAACTGCAGATCGTAAAGAGCATTGCTTTGAACTAAAATACATTAAAGAGTTATTGATTTCATCAACTTATCTAGTATATTTGCCTACTCTACCGTCCAATACCTTATACCTCCTTATTGTCATACCAAAGAACAATCTATAATTTTAGAACTTTAAATTCTAATTATATATCAGTATAATCAAATCTTAATATAAAATATTATAACAGAGGACCTCATCATCGTTCAAGACTGAGAAAAGATAAACTTCATGAGAAAAAAGAACCAAAATATCGTCAGACATCTAAAATGGATAAAAAAAAATGTCGTCGGGTAATTCAATGTGCTTTTTCATCCTACCGTAAACAATGGTGTAATAAACGAGAGAAATCCGATAAAAATCACATACTTCAAGAAATTTATGAATAATATCACATTACGAATAGCAAGGATGTAAGAGATACCAAAGGGATAATACAAAAAATTGAAAATACCATGGCAGAACAAAAAATCGACGAAAATAAAGGCAACAATAGTATACCGCTGTTCAAAAGTTATAAATCGATTAAGAGAAATCAAATCCGGGTTACAAACTTGAACTGAGGGAAACACCTCAACTATAAGAGGAAAACAACGGAGCAGCAGAAACACTGAACTGCAACAAAAACAAACGCCAACATACATAGAAACGGGCTATTTAATAACAACTGCCATATTCCTGACTTGGTACAGGACATTTTAAGAAAAAATGGTGGGTTGAACCTTGTTTTATGGCTAGCCAAACCTCCCGCTTATATAACAATGTTAAAAAACATCGCTAAAATGACAACACTACGTGACAGGAATACAGTACAAACAAACACAAGAACTCTCAGCACAGAGAAATGCATAAATAAATGATAAAATAGTACATTACAACATGTAAACCGCAGAATAACAACAGACATCTCCCATTAACGACAGCACAAGACACCACAAACTGCACGTCAAATGAATGGATCAACGCCACAAAAAGTGACGTATTCTTGTGATGTATATATAATCTTGAAATTCTTACAATTAAATAGAACGAGATCCACAAATTCACAATTATTTTCACAATACTAGTCCGAATAATTATCATGATTAAGACGGTCTTGAAAGGCTATTTTAAATTAATGCTATGACGACGTCATAATTATTTGGACTAACACAATACTTTATCCATGGAAAATGGAAATTAACTCAAGTATGCTGACAAATAAGACATATGTGAAATGTACCAAAAATACAGAATTCAAACCACAAACGATAAGACATAACACAATATCCAATCGTACTTACAAACGTAATATCATAACTTAAAACATCAATGTTGGATGTATAAATATCGAGACACGTCGTATAGCAATGCGAATTCACACTAGGCAAAACAGTCATATTCGGGAATAGGTCACGTTCGGTACTTAGCAGACAGACGACGAAGATGGTAAATCACAATCTAAGAGGTGGTAAAAATGTCGTTAGTTAGATTAGACACAGACACATCGTATAGATGACATACAAACAGTTTTTAAAAAAAACACTACATAGATATTACAGACCTTGCAACATGAACCCAAACAAACACCGGGTGTTATGTCAGCTGTTCCGGAAGGTTCAACACATCCTGATCCACATGTATCTCCGATCGTGATTGTCATTACAAGTACAAATCCGATGATAACCCCTATTCGGTGATGACTAACATTTCATAACAGTGTAGAAACTTCGTGCTCCCGAAGCGTTTTTCTTTATTAACCTTCATTAAGAACACTAAAATCTAAGTATTTGAAAGCAGCCAGAGATGTATAAATACACAGAAACATTAGAAGCTATATGAACAAGAGGGACTCACAAGAATAGCCTAATTCAGTTAAGGTAAATTTTGTTCAAGGATGTTGGAACCTTAGTTTCTCACAATCGCGGTTAAAAAGGACACCAGACTGTATCTAAGACAATTGAAACATGTCAGTGGTTATCTAAGACAATTTGAATATATTAGAGATATTTAATAACATGTCATCTCAACTTTGAAATATATACTCAATATATACAAACGCTGCTGGAATGTTGCTACATATGACGACCATAGGCTAAGAGCTTGTAATTAAGTGGTTGATGTAGGTTGATGTCTGCCACTATTGTTTTTTAAATGTCCATACTGTTGTTCTTTATGAATAGTTGCGACAATCATACCACATCATATTTTTACATGATGTACAGCTAGGCAGAAGATAATGTTTGAATAGGGCAAATAATTTCGGTGAAGTGAATAAAAAGTATTATGAATACATCAAAAGGGGGTGGGGGGTCTCGACATTTAAATTTGTGTACAGACGTCCGCCTGGAGTTTAAAAAACACCACCCCAGTCATATATCGATTCCATACCCATTCATATATTTCATAGGAAAATCACAACCCATTTGTATATATTTCCTAGCTATCATTACATCTTATTTAGACGTTGACCACATGGGATCATTCATATTATAAGATAAAAAGATAAGAACACAGTTTTTTTTTCAGACATCTTAACAGAAGACGAACATTTATGACCCATTGATATGTTACCTCCGTAAATTTCAACCCATTTATATATTTGAGTTTTCAAAGAAGTTACACATACCAGCGGCACATCTGTGGATACCTTTATATAAGAATAGACTCTCCCCTTGAAGTACATGTTATTAAAAGATTAAATACTGTTAAGATTTACAAGATATTTTGCTACGTTTATTTTGGGTTTTTTCCGTATGTTAGAAATGAACATTTTATTTCTGTATTACTCATCATAACTGTATTCATCAAAATCTTTACGAAACGTCAACATTGAATAATAATCAAATTAATGCTTTACTTTGAACGTATCCTATAAAAACTTTCAAGTAAAATAGATACTTATCACATGCTGTATGTACTTACAAAAGTATTTTAATTGAGAAATTTCGAATTATATAAAAAATCATTATTGCTTATATACAAAAATTTATGTTACTTTTGTGACCATTTCAAACAAATCTGATAATTTTACCACTTTTTTTTAATGTGTATATTTTCTTGTGAACGTGAAAATAATGAAAATGTACCTTATATCTACTCACCTTTCAAACTAACGTAGAAGTGACATCCAATGCAATCAGAATACAAACGATACGGACAACTCAAGATCACTGCATAATAGAAATTTCTATTAAGTGTTTAAAATGTCTTTATATTGTATCACACAAATATTGTTCTTCCACGTTTAGATAGTCTCTAAAGTTTCCAATGATAACTCACATACATATAATGATACAACCGCCTTTAATCTCAACTATCCACACACATAGTTTACATGGAACTCTTAACATGTTAATTATAACACGATGTATAATACTGACAAAATCATGGCAATTATTGATTAAACAATTAACTACGTGTTGTACTGTATAATTTATTTCCCCTCTGACAATTATAGTGGTGACTAAAACTTGGCTTCAAATTTCCACTTATCATCACAGGTCATTTCAGTTATGCGGAAATAAAAAAAAAAGATATTTTCAAACAATGCGAGTCAACAAACTGAACATTACAAAAATACAAGAAGGTACAATAACGACACTGTTTGTCCCTTAAAACCAACAAAATAAAAGAATAAGAAATTTATAGAATAAAACCCTTGAGATTTGACATACATAAAAATGTAAGTATTATGTAACATTATTTATATTTTTGAATGTGTCTTTCTTGTTTTTGTACGGCATCAGAATTATTGCATTGTAGGTAAACTGCAAAATAACTGCATTATGAGATGTTGTAATGGATATTTAAATCGAGCTTTACCAACAAAGATATTTTGCTATGTCTTTATTTAAAGATGTTGTCGGTTTTCAAATATCTTTTGAAAAAAGTTGTTGATCTCATTTAATTTTGCTGGAAACTGTGTATACATTGGTTATGTTTGGTTAAACAAGATTCGCAGGCATTTTCATGCAAATCATACCCATTTCATAATTCAAAGTATTGGAAAACGGGAAGTAGGTTTTGAGCAAATCCAAAAAATTACTCACACGTTACCACTTCCACTGCTGAGCTGCTGAGCAAATATGAAGTCATTTTGTGCAATAGTCCTGGAAAAATTATTGACGCTATTTGTCATATTTCATTAAACTTTTTGAACAATTCTAAGCATCGATAAACGGACAGTAGATGGCTTACAGATACGAAAACTGCTCACATGTTATAACTCATCACTGAAAAACTGTGACAAATAATGAAGTCATTCTGTTTGGTAGGACATGAGTAAAATGTCACGGAAATATTGTTCGGACAAGGAACGTTATAGCGGGTAGACGGGTAGAGAACGTGAGAAAAGGCCTAGATTGCGGGTATAATTTTTCAATTTTTGTGAGGTCAAAATAACATTCAATCTAACATAACATACTACTCATTTCTCAGTAATGAATGGTATGATTTTGACTGGGTCAAAGAATCATAATGTTTTTCTTTAAAGTGCAAAAAAGTTACTCTTATTCTGCACATGTATTTGGAAACTTATAAATACTTGGTTTTGTTAGTTCGCTCGATCCTGATGTAAAATCAAGAAAACCGCATTGGATGGATACAAGTGTATAACAATTATGCTACTTTTTCACACCTGATTACCTGATAAAAATCTGTTTTTATATTAATTAGAAACTCTAATTAGATAGATAAAACACTTTGTTTATCATCCATTATCTTCAATCACTGTAATGTTATTGTTTGCACCTGGACTTGACGGAAGTAGTGATGGTTAATCACTTTGTAATAGTCCCAACAATTTAATACCAGCAAATATTGGGTAGTACAGATAAAATTATAGTCTATTTTGTTTATAAAATTTATGCAGAAAATATGCCAGATTCACAAGAGAGAGGCGGAAGATATCAAAGGCATATTCAAACTCATAAGTAAAGAACAACTGACGACGCCATGGTAAAAAAATGAATAACAGTCTACGAAACACAACATAAAAAACTAAAGACTGAGCAACAAAACCCTACACAAATTATGGGTGGTCTCAGGTGATCCACAAAGGTAAGCAGATTCTGATACTCACGTCGTGCTGCTAACGTAAGTTCAAATGCGGTGATGTCATATTCGAGGAAAAGAATATTGGATTGCAGTTACTACAAATGAAACAAATTATAAAAATGTCGACGGCTTTAACCATCGGATGAAGTTACCTATTAATTTGACAGTGACATGACATACTGTAACAATCTGATATCGATGTTACACAAAGAACGTATAATTTGTGTCATTTCTGTTGTTTTAAAGACTACTTATCGTCATAAAAATATTGGAGGTCAAAGGTTTAGAAACTTAAAGTGAAAACGTATTTTTGTAAATGAAGCAAAATAGTAATAGGGAAAAACGAAATAGTTGATGTAAAATTCCCATTAATTTGTCTATTACGGAATTGAAATGTATTATAACATTAACGGTACCAATTGTGTTACATCTGATGCACATCTAGACAATGTTATTACTTCGGTACTGACATGATTTTTAACAAACTTTTCCTTGAATTCTCATTGGATAAATTACAAAGAAACTAAGGTTACAACTCACTCAGGAAAAGTTAATCTTAGATGAACTTGGCTATTCATTTATGCCCCTTTTGGTCTAAAGCTCTTCACGTGTTTATGTCTTACACCTCCGGGGCTTTCAAATGTTTATGTTTGAGCGTTCTTGATGAAGGTAAATCTAGAAAAGGTCTTCGGACGCACAAAATTAATTGAGTAATTTTCGTTTAATGTCTCTTCAATGATACTTGAGATCAAAATATTTAAAATTCAAAACCTTATACAACCGTTGAATAGCTGATAAAATACAAAAGGACATATTACATCGCAAACGGTAATAAACGAACAAAACTCAAAATTTGAAAAATACTTCTTGTAAAATTCCTGAATAAGCTTATTTCAGGTGAAATTCTCCGACTATGGTAATTTTGCCTGAGAGCGTAGCGAGCTGACTTTAGCACAATTACATCAGTTTCGGAACTGGAAAAATACGAAATGTATAATTTGAATCAAACGAATACCAAAGCACTGGATACTGGACGGATCAAGTACTCTTTCGATTTAATTTTTGACATACCCATCGATAGGCTAATTAAGTCTGAAATGTTAACATAAGAAAAAGTAATCCGTTTATTAATTTTGAAATCATTACGACACTAAGGTTGCACTCCCTCGGGCAAAGCTGACCTTAGAAGGATTTGCTTATTGAATTTAGGAACCTTCTAGTCATATTCATGTAGCTCTTCATTTGTTTCGGTACTTATACATCCTTACCTTTCAACTTGACATCGAGTCTGGTGATTATAAATAAAAAAGCGCTTCGGACGCATAAAATTTTTAAATGCTTTTTTAATTTTGAACTAAAAGATGATTAATTTGGAGAAAAATACATCTTGTTGTGCATAAATCTTATACAAGTGATTCAAATAAGATTTGCATCCGAAACCTTGATTGCAATATATCCGTGCGTAATTCATATGTGTAAGGAAATCAAAATGTGGTATGATTGCCAATGATCAACCTGATCAATATTTATTTCAAACTGGTTGTAAATGTATGAGCTCCAAGTAACTTAAATTTTTCTTTAATCTTTTATATAAAAATCAATATGAGCTAACACATTTGAATACATTTTTATACCTAAGTTTTAAAGTTACATTAAAGATTTAACGTAGCTACATTCTATTTAATTGCTCTTATTGGCATCTTTAAAATACCATACTTACAAATAAACTTGTATATGGAAAAGGTAGGTACGGGATAAAGGAATCATGAGAAGTGTTACTAGTATCCTTTCTCAGCAAAATGTACAGGTTTAAGCAATTGAACCCACAACAAAAACAATTGAATAGAAACTGATCTATCATACAAATAGCATTGATTAAACAGAACAAAAATCCTCGAAAAGTGTAACGGCATCTGACAAATAGCAATTAATTTACATAACACATATTTGGCACTGTTAACACAGCTATCATTCATTCAAAATATTTGAAGAAATGAATCCATTTTATTCGATTGAAGATGTAGATATCTTTAAAATCTAGCGAAAAAACACAAACTAAGAACAATACAACATGATCTATATGAGTTTGATTGTCCCTTTGGTATCTTTCGCCCCTCTTCTATTAATAGGTGGAAAACATGGAATGAAGAAAGTAGTAAACAGAAAACAAACAAAATATAACAAAAAAAAAATATCAAAATATTCTAAATTTGATATTTTGCTAAAAATGTATATATTCTTTTAAAAAGTGTTGTCACTGTCATCAAACAATGGCATTTTACGTCTTATAAATGAAACAAATGTATGGCAATAGTAGAGTTTATAAAGTTAGATATGAATATTTTTCTGTAAATTGGTTACTTCTTATCTATGTTATTTTAACTTAAAAAGAAATGCAATGTAATCTTAGGCAAGATTTACACTAAGTTGGATATGATTGATGAAGAAAAAATACTACTGTCTTCCATTATGACCGACTAAACTCACTAAACAAATATTGTTTGTTTGAAATGTTAACATAAGAAAAAGTAATCATAGCATTAAACAAGTGTTATTGACGATTTCATTTGCTTTCAAATATATGACTTCAACCGTTCCTGATGAAGGAAAATCAAGACATGTAATTTGGATGCATAAAAGAAGTGTTTTTTTTTCATTTAATTTTTTTTTTAGTACTGCCATGACTTATAACATGCATTTCTTAAATTGTCCGTTTATTAATTTTGAAATCATTTAGACACTAAGTTTCCAACTCCCTCGAGCACAGCTGACCTTAGAAGGATTTTCTTATTGAATTTAGGTCCCTTCTGGTCATATTCATGTAGTTGTTCATTTGTTTCGATACTTATACATCCTTACCTTTCAACTACTTGACTTCGAGTATCCACAGAAAGATGTATTTTTCTTCAAATACTAGTTCAAAATGAAAATAGCATTTAACAAATTATATGCGTCCGAAGGGCTTTTAAGGATTTGCATTCGAAACTTGGATTGCAATCTATGCGTGCGTAATTCATTTGTGTAAGGAAATCAAGATGTGGTATGAATGCTAATGAGACAACTATCCACCAGATGCATTGTACTAAAGGACGAAGATTAGTTCTTTTTTCTGCCAATATTTTCTATATATATTGGATTGGTTTTTTTTTTTGTATTTTGAAGTGTTTGGGTTATGGGTAGGCTAATTTCTTATTAATTAATTTGCAAACAATGGATTTTGTCAAGAGTAAACTAATTAAGATGTTCCAGGTATAGTTAAGATTAAAGTTGTCTGCCATCAAATTAGTATTATCAGTTGGGCATGATA